CCCCTGCGTTGGGAGCTTGAAGTCTTGGCCACTGGACCACCAGGGAAGTCCTAAAGAAAGCTTTTACTCCTCCCACCCTCCCCGCACCCTTTAATTTTAGTTTATATTTGAAAACCTTGTAAAGGCTGAAATCTCTTTGGTTAAGAGAAAGAGGTGGCTGTGCTTACATTACGAATTACATGTATTCAGAGTTCCCCTTGCTCTCTCCTGGTGGTTGATTCTGAAAATGGCACAGTGACATTTGGCTGGATAATCCTCTGTTGTGGGGAGCAGCCCTGCGCAGTGTGGGATTTAGCAGCATCCCTGGCCTCTTCCCACTAAGTGCAGGGAACCCGCTGGCCCCCAGTGGTGACAACCAACATGTCCACAGACGCTGTCACGTGTCCCTCCGGGCTCAGAATCCCTCCTGGCTGAGAAGGGAACCCGCCGGCCCCCAGTGGTGACAACCAAAATGTCCACAGACACTGTCAAGTGTCTCGGGGCTCAGAATCGCTCCTGGCTGAGAACCCTCAAAGCAGACCTGCCGACCGTAGTTTCTCATGGGTTAACCACAGGTAGGCTGCCACCAGACTGGACACCGTTTCTCTGAATCCTGGAAAGCTGCTCTTTATTCCAGTGGCTATTGCTTCAGCTCCCCTGTCCTGGAGATCTTGCTGTCGTCCAGCCCGGAGGAGCCATGCCAGGATAAGCTGAGATAGAGCACATGCTGTATTTCTGAATCCAGGGGACTTGTTCTTAATGGACCTGCCTCTTAATGAACTTTGATAAACTTGCTAAAGAACGGAATGTGAAATCTAGGCCAACACACACTTGATATGAGACCCTCTGCTCCGTCTTGGTTTTCCACAGGACAGGCAGGTCCTCTTAGATTGGATTCACTTTGTAATAAGACAGAAAGTTTGGCTGTGTTCTAGGTATCAAAGCATGATGGTTTTAGTTTTTATTGTTTCTTAATTTTCGATGAAAGAGTTGACTGTAGCGTTGTCAAGTGTGGCTGGTAAATAGCTTCCATGTTTGTACACAGCATGGTGCTGTGTTGATGCAGCCCAGAGGTTGCTTACTCAGGCTCATGCGTGTAGTAAGTGATAGAATTGAAATCTGAACTCAAGCTTTTCTGGTTGACTCCAAAGCCATGCTTTTCCCTCTGTCCCAACGCCTCTCAAAGTACGGTGTGCCTAGGACTCACTCTGGAGAGCTTGTTAAAATGCAGATCCTGGCTTGGTAAGTTTAGGAAGGCTGGCAATTCTGCCTTACTAACGGAGTCCCAGGTGATGCCCATGTTGTTGACCTTGGAATCACACTTTGAGTACCAGAGCTCTGTGCTGTGTTCCTGGATTTTTTTTTTTTCCTTTTCTTTTTGGTTCTGCTGGGTCTTCGTTGCTACTTGTGGGCTTTCTGCAGTTACAGTGAGTGGGAGCTACTCTTCCTTGTGATGTGAGAGCTTCTCATTGTGGGGGCTCTCCTGTAGAGCACAGACTCCAGGGGTATGGCCTTCACTAGCTGGTGCTTGCAGGCTCTAGAACAGAGGCTCAGCAGTTGTAGTGCATGGCCTTAGTTGCTCTGTGGCACGTGGGGTCTTCCCGGACCAGGGATCAAACTCATGTTCCCTGCATTGGCAGGCGGATTCTTAGCCACGGCACCACCAGGGAAGCCCCTGAATTGTTAATGGTGGTATAGATAATCCTCCTGGTGATTAACCCACAAAATTGGTAACCTACAATTGAACATTCAGTAGTTGGATGTTTTATTGATTGTCTTCTTCATTTTAAGCGATGTGTATTCCCCTGGTAGAATTGAGGGAAAGCTCTGTTCCCCTGAACTGGCAGCATTGCCGTTCTGTGTTGAGTGAATGCTGGGTGTGCTTGGAAAGTAACGTGAAAGATCCCAGGGTAGTTTGTGGGGGTGAGCGTTACAGTGCACAGCTGCCGAGGTCCACCGACCTAGGGTGGACGTTATTTTACATTTGCACACCTCTGAAATTGGGTGTGTCTTAAGCTACAGATGGCATTTTACTGTCACTGGATGTTGGCAGTTGACTTCTGCTACTGCTGGCCGCCTTCCCCCTCCCTGGGGGTTGAGCTGGGCGGCCCCCACAGTGAGCATCTGGCCGCCTCACCGGCTCGTTCCTCTCTTTTTCCTGACCCGGGCTTCAGTGCCTTTGTTCTGTCACTGCTGAACCCAAGCTGGGGAGGTCCAGGCTACAGGCTCGGAGATTTTGATCTTGTTCAGAAGTGCTGCAGGGCAAGATGGATTTCTGTGTCTTTTGCTCTGCCCCTGACGTCTGCTGTTGGCAGCAGCAAATCTGTTACCGATTTCTCCTTGTTCTGACTTGGTAGGGACTCCTCCAGGACTAAGGTGAAATTTTAAAAAGCTCTTTACTAGAGTAAACATTCTAAATGATGAACTATTTTTTCATATTTTTCTTACTCGGCAGCATTTTTATTTCTTGATGGTACACAAGTTGATAATGCATTTTTATGGGGCCTTAGCTAGACGAGACTTAGAAGTTCAACCTAAGTTTACCAGAAAAAGACTGATCTGGGGTAGGAGGAGTAGTGAGGGGCCTAGGTCTGTGAGGGGCCCATTGTCCACGCGCAGGGTAAAAGCTGACTGAAGGCTCTCCAAGCCCTTCTGGCCTCTGAACTAATTGGATTCTAGTGTGCTGGAATGAATGAATTGAAGTGTGAGGTCTCTGCTTTAGGAACATAGGAGAAGTGATTATTAATTATTCGTACTTTTGACAAGATTGGTGAGCGAGGAGACATCTGAGCCGGGTGCTCAGGGGGAGAATAGTTGTGGTGGAGGAATAGGAGAGAGAGGATTTTAAGCTGAAGAGACAGTACTCACAAGGTCATGGGAGAACCTTTAAAGCCATTCACAGGGACTTCCCTGGTGGTCCAGTGGTTAAGATGCTGCGCTCCCAGTGCAGGGGCCATGGGTTCAGTTCCTGGTCGGGGAACTGAGATCCCACATGCTGCACGATGTGACCAACCAACGAACAAAAACACTCAGCTTTTAGACCCTGGATAAAATTATATTCATCACGTTATGTAGAGGTGAGCCTCAGTACAGGTGTTCCATTGCAAGAAGGATGTCCTTTCCCAGCTGTCTAAAAAGATGATTACTCAAGACGTTCTCTTTGTTTCTGGCTTTTGACAATAAAATGATGATTCCTCACTAGTTAGTCAATGAATTAATGGGTATAGAAACCGTAAGATTAAAGGAGCTATCCGAGTACTCGGATATGTTCATCCTTGTTTGAGTTTCAGTGTCAAAGTGAATAATAAAGCTACTACCTAGTAGTAGCTACTGTCGGAGGCACATTTGAACGAAAAGAAGTGAAAGTGAAGTCACTCAGTCGTGTCCGACTCTTTGCGAGCCCGTGGACGGCAGCCCACCAGGCTCCTCCGTCCGTGGGATTCTCCAGGCAAGAGTACTGGAGTGGGTTGCCATTTCCTTCTCCAGGGGATCTTCCCGACCCAGGGATTGAACCTGGGTCTCCCGCATTGTAGGCAGACGCTTTACTGTCTGAGCTACCAGGGAAGCCTCGCAGTGAGGCACACTTAAATAATCTTGTAAATTATGATGTAGTCCATCCGATTGAGCGCTGATCTTCGTTTCGGGAAGAAATAGCGGCTTTGCATGTATCAGTCGCTTCAGATAGAGGTTCTTTGAATTGGGAATTTCTTTGGACACAGAAGCTCTTAGTTTTACTGAACCAGGTACACCTTGAAAGAAAAAGCTCTTGTAAGTGTAGTCAGTGTAGTAGGTAGCAGTTGCAAAATCAAAGTAATTAACCTCAACTGGATGGGCTCGCCTTTGTTTTAGACCAAAAAGAAAGGCCGTTTAAATCGGGACTCAGAAATGGCACAGACTCCAGGGAGTTTGAGTTGGGTTTTCCGGGACTGAGGATCCAGAGCTGAGGATCATAACCTCAGTTTTGCTCTGCCACCTTGTGTTCTCTTGGGAAAATTATTTTTAATATCCCTTAACCGTGTTTGTTGCATACGTAATCCTCAGCTTTAGCTTGTTTCCCAGGAAAATTAGTTAGCAAATGAATAGAGCCTCCAGTGTGAAATCTTTATAAGTTTGCTGAATGGTCTGGTAGTTTTTATTCTGATAAGACATATGCTAGATTTCACAGTTTGGTTTTGTTGCTGTTGTTATTCAGTCTCTAAATTGCGTGCGACTCTTTGGGATCCCATGAACCACAGCATCCCAGGCTCCACTGTCTGAAGTGTCTCTGAGTTTGCTCAGATTCACGTTAATTGAGTCAATGATGCTGGATCTAACCATCTCATCCTCTGTCATCCCCTCCTCGTCCTGCCTTCAATCTTTCCCAGCATCAGGGTCTTTTCCAGTAAGTCAGCTCTTCACATTAGGCGGCCAAAGTATTGGACCTTCAGCATCAGTCCTTCCAATTAATATTCAGGACTGATTTCCTTTAGGATGGACTGGTTTGATCTCCTTGCAGTCCAAGGGACTCTCAAGAGTCTTCTCCAACACCACAGTTCAAAAGCATCAGTTCTTTGGTGCTCAGCCTTCTTTATGGTCCAACTCACGTCCGTACACAACTACTGGAAAAACCATAGTTTTGACTATCTGGACTTTTGTTGGCAAAGTGATGGCTCTGTTTTTTAATACACTGTCTAGATTTGTTATAACTTTCTTTCCAAGGAGGAAGCATCTTTTAATTTCATGGCTTCAGTCACCATCCAGAGTGATTTTGGAGCCCAAGAAAATAAAATCTGTTACTGCTTCCGCTTTTTCCCCTTGTATTTGCCATGAAGTGATGGGACTGGATGCCATGATCTTAGTTTTTTGAATGATGAGTTTCAAGCCAGCTTTTTCACTTTCCTCTTTCACCCTCAACAAGAGGCTCTTTAGTTCTTCTTCACTTCAGTATATTTATCCACAATCTCCTTTGACCTAAAGACAGTGTTGCTTTTGCATTCTTTAGTACAATATTGATCATCAGTGTTTTTCCTTCTTCTTTACAGGTGGTTCGTACTGAGAAGAACAGCCTGAACAACCGATTCCTGCCGTGGAATGAAATCGAGACAGAGGCCATCCTGTCTATTGATGATGACGCTCACCTCCGCCATGATGAAATCATGTTTGGGTTTCGGTGAGGAGCTGAGTTTTAATCAAGGAATGCTTTTGTTTGCAAGTGGCAGGAAACTAACTCAAACCCTGGATGAGGCAGCCAGATGGATTTCATAGCTGGTAGTAACTGAGACATCTTGTGTGCTGAGTTGCTTCAGCCGTGTCCGACTCTGTGCCACCCCAGGGACTGAAGCCGGCCAGGATCCTCTGTCCATGGGATTCTCCAGGCAAGAATAGCGGAGTGGGTTGCCATTCCCAGCTCCAGGGGATCTTCTCGGCCCAGGGATTGAACCCACGTCTCTTAGGTCTCCTGCATTGGCAGGAGGGTTCTTTACCACTAGTGCCCCAGGGCTTAAATATCTCACCTTGAAGGAACAGTACAGATAAGAGAACAGAGTAGATCAGGGCCGCTCAGAGCGTGTCCAGTCCTGGCGCTGACTCGTGGACACTTTATTTCTTGTCCAAAGTGAAGTGAGTACAGAAATTGAGGGTAGATATTTAGAAGCCTTTAAATAACTTGACATTTACCATGACATCCAAGTGTGAACATTTTCCTGTAATTCATTTTTGAGTAACATTTATTGAATATAATTCATACGTCATACAGTTCACTCATTTAAGTGGCTTTTAGTGTATTTACAGGGTTGTGCAACCGTCACCATAATCTGTTTTAGAAGTCTTCATTACCATCAGAAGAAATCTTGTACCCATTAGCAGTCATTTTCCATTTTTCTCCCAACTCTCTAAACCATTGGCAGCCATTAATGTACTTAGTTTCTCTGTAAATTTATCAGACATCCCATGTAAATGGTACCATATAATATGTGCTCCTTGGTAACTGGTTTCTTTCACTTAACATGATGTTTTCAGAGTTCATCTGTCTTGGAGCATCTGTCGGTTCTTCATTCTCTATGGATGTACACATTTTGTTGACTCCTAGGTGGCTCAGTGGTAGAGAATGTGCTTGCCAATGCAGGGGACCTGGATTCTACCCCCGGGTTAAAATTCCCTTGGGAAAGAAATAGCAACCAACTCCAGTATTCTTGCCTGGGAAATCCCATGGACAGAGGAGCTGGCAGGCTACAGTCCGTGGGGTCTCTGGTTATAAGACAAGTGAATTATCTCTGACTGTACTTCCAAATCTTCTATTACACTGAGTATTTTCTCATTTGTTTGGGCATCCTTTGATCTAAAAACTTTGCTTTCGAATTAGAGTTTTCATCTTTTCCATATGTATGCCTAGGAATGGGATTGCTGGATCATATGGTAACTTTGTTTTTAGTTTTTTAAGGAACCTCCATACTGTTCTCCATAGTGGCTGTACCAATTTACATTTCCACCAAGAGTGTAGGAGGATTCCCTTTTCGAAAGGATACATGCATTCTGACGTTCATTGCAGCACTATTTATAGTAGTTGAGACATGGAAGCAACCTAAATGTTGATATCAGCAGATGAATGGATAAAGAAGATGTGGTATATAGATACCATGGAATATTTTTCAACCATAAAAAGAATGAAATAATGCCCTTTACAGCAACATGGATGGACCTAGAGATTGTCACACTAAGTGAAGTCAGTTCAGTTCAGTCGCTCGGTCGTGTCCGACTCTTGCGACCCCATGAATCGCAGCACGCCAGGCCTCCCTGTCCATCACCAACTCCCGGAGTTTACTCAAACTCATGCCCATGGAGTCGGTGATGCCATCCAGCCATCTCATTCTCTGTTGTCCCTTCCTCCTCCTGCCCCCAATCCCTCCCAGCATCAGGGTCTTTTCCAATGAGTCATCTCTTCACATGAGGTGGCCAAAGTATAGGAGTTTCAGCTTCAGCATCAGTCCTTCCAGTGAACACCCAGGACTGATCTCCTTTAGGATGGACTGGTTGGATCTCCTTGCAGTCCAAGGGGCTCAAAAGAGTCTTCTCCAACACCACAGTTCAAAAGCATCAATCTTTGGTGCTCAGCTTTCTTCACAGTCCAACTCTCGCATCCATACATTACCACTGGAAAAACCATAGCCTTGACTAGAAGTAAGTTAGAGAAAGTCAAATACCATATGATATCACTTACATGTGGAATCTAAAAAAAAATGATGCAAGTGAACTTATTTACAAAGCAGAAATAGACTCAGACATAGGAAATAAACCTAATGGTTCCAAAGGGGAAAATGGGGGGAGGGCTAAATTTAGGAATTTGGAATTGAGCGATACATACTACTGTACATGTGTCATTTTGCAGTCGTACACGAACACACACACATATATAAAATAGATAACAAGGACCTGTTTTGTAGCTCAGGGAGCTGTATTCAATATCTTATAATAGCCTTTAATGGAAAAGAATGTGAAAAATAATATATATAACTTAGTCAATTTGCTGTACACCTAAAAATTGTAAATCAGCTGTTTTTGATCTAGAGTAAATAAATGAATGTATCCATAGAAACTGTCCCTCTGGCAAAAGATAATGTGGGTCTTGGTTGACTTGAGCTTATGTGGCAAAGAGGAAATAGTATGTTTTTAAGGGATGGATAAAGAGACTCAAGAGAATTGAAAACACGTATCTGTACGAAAACAGGCCATGACTGTTCATAGCAGCATTATTTATAAGGGTAAGTATAAACATGATTCAGCTTATATGAGGCACTCACAGTAGTCAAATTCATAGAGAGAAAGTGGAATGGCAGGTGCCTGGAATTAAAGAAAGGCAATAATGCCAAATTAATGTTTAATGGGTCAGGTTTTAGGTTGGAAAGATGGAAACATTCTGGAGATAAATTTAACAGTGGGAATATACTTAATGCCATTGAACTGTATACTTGAAAATAATTAAAATGGTAAATTTCATGTTATGTGTATTTTCCACACACCAAAGAAAAATCAGTTGTCAAAAAAAAAAAAGCTACAACAAGAGAAGTATAAACAATCAGAATGTCCTTCAGCTGATGAATGGATAAACAAACGGTGGTATATCCACACAGTGGAATATTACTTGGCACCAAACAGGAATGAAGTACTGACACGTGCTACAACATGAAGACGGGCTAAGTGAAACAAGCCAGTCACTAAAGGTCACGTACTGTGTGAGTCCACTTGTGTGAAGTGTCTGCAGCAAGCAGAGCCTTGGAGACGGAAGGTGGATTAGTGGCTGCCGTGGGAGGCTGGGGGCTGGGGTGAATGGCAGTGACTGCTAAACTGCAGTGGTTATGGAGTTTCTTTTCATTAATAGGTTATGAAAATATTCTGAAGTGGTGATGGTTGCATAGCTTTGTGAATATATTAAATACTAACCCCCAGCGAGTCATACACTTTTAAACAAGTGAGTCTTCTGTGTGATTTATAGCTCAATAAACTTTATTTTTAAAACGGGCGAAAGTGTAAGCTTTACAGTGAGGGATCATGACTGGAAGGTAGTTTCTCTTCTGGAGGCATTTGAAGGGATCAGTATTTTTAGGAGTATTGATATAACCTTCGGATATGCTGTTGGTATTTATTAACAATCCTTATATTCTGTAACTGTCAAAATATATTATTAAAACATAGCTTTTTAGGTCAGTGTTTGGAAATCTGTGTTAGGAGATAAACAAGGATAGAGGTAGGGGTTTGGGTGGGATGTGGCAGAAAGCCCATCTAGATGGCTGCTGTGTTGTGATATAAGTTGTAATTTCTCATCTGGACTAGACTGTGTGTTTGCATCATCAGTCGTGTCCAATCTTTGTGATCCTATGGATGGTAGCCTGCCAGGCTCCTCTGCTCTGGGATTTCTCAGGCAAGAATACTGGAGTGGGTAGCCATTTCCTTCTCCAGGCATCTTCCTTCCGCACCTCCCGCATCTCCTGCATTGACAGGTAGATTCTTTACTGCTGAGCCACCTGGAAAGCTCACTGGACCAGGTTAGTTGCTTTCAAACTTAACAGGAGAGGGACTCTTGGAATGAAATCTTGTGTGCTTTAGGAGCTGAGGTTTCGTGGGTGATGAGGGACTCTGTTAGGCAGTTTAAACCTCTGTTGGAGTGAGGAGAAGGGAGGAGGTGATGGATCCTTGCTTATGGTACACCTGAAGCACTTCTGCCGGACTGTGGATTTCAGCCTGGGAAACTGATTTTATTTGTTGTACCTTACCTAGAGGTAAGGTAAATTTGGAGATGTTAGAACGTTTATCCTGGAAACATTCCCAGCTTATTTCTTATATTATGAAGTCTTTCATTTGTCTGGTTCTGTAGACCACTGATTTTCATGGTACAGGTTTCCCCCTCATCTCTGCTCCAGTCAGAATGTTAGACTGTGGTTAGATTGGGGTCACTCAGTAAGAGAGGAGTTAATTATACCGTGTACATAAATTATGTACAAGTCCTACCATACTAGTATGTTATAATCTTTAAAAGTAGAGCTTAAGAAATTAAATAATATTAAAAAGAAATAGATACAAAAATTATCATCTTCCTGCTTCTTAGCAGATTGTTGTACTTACCCCATCCTGGAGACCTTTAAATGCCTTAGACTCCTTAGAGCCTTTCTGTGTTTTTCCAGCTTGTTCCTTTATGCAAGGGCTGGAGAGATGCTAGCCACCAGCATCAGTAAGTTAGAGGATCGATAAGCAGGTGCTTATTAAGGAAACTATGGGTGATACTTTGTTTTTATTCTGTTTGGTTTGTGATTGATTTGGTATATAAAATAAACAGAAAAAAGAAGTAACAGCTCAAAAAGAGAGGTCCTGCAAAATAGCGGCAATAATATTACACGTATCTGATAACCTTAGAGCTTTGTACTCAGGTGTGTGCATATGCTTGTGTTTTATGAGGGTGTGGAGAGAAGCCCGGGACCGCATTGTGGGTTTCCCTGGCCGTTACCATGCGTGGGACATCCCTCATCAGTCCTGGCTCTACAACTCCAACTACTCCTGTGAGCTGTCCATGGTGCTGACAGGTGCTGCCTTCTTCCACAAGGTAAGAAAGGCCTGGTGGGACTGGCCTGACTCGGTAAGAGTTGAGCCTTTGTGTGGCAGTGAAATGCTGCTTTAGATAAAGATCGCTCTCCTAATGCTTCTTACATATCCCATGCTTGCTAGAATTACCCGACTTCTATCTTTAAAGACAGTGATCAAGATGGTTATAGCAGCTCTAGAATGAAGTCAGGATGGGAAGGCCACCAGTATAATTGCACATTGGCCATTAGAAAATCAGTTTATCCTGCTGAGCACTGGCTCTCCCTCTGTAAAACTGAGTGCACTGGGGCAAAACATTTTCCAGTTTCCCCAGAGCCATTCCAGACATGGCCTGGCCAACGAAAGGCTGAATCTGGCCCTCTCCCGATTCAGCCACCTCTGTCCCAGGCCCCACCACGAGCTTCTGTCCACTCAGGCTCTGCCAGTTCTGTTTGATTCCTTAGAGCTTTTAATGTTCACGTTGCCTCACATCCTGCTTTTCATTGAATATTTAGGATGCATATCCTTCCAGTCATTACTCCTCTTTTACTGTTGTTGCTAAACTGTTCTGTTTTCTTGCTCCTGACTTATTTTCTCTTTCCATTTCATCTGTTCTGTAAAATAGCCCCTGGGCACATGTGGCTGCTGAGCACTTGAAACATGATTGGTCAGTGCTGAGATGTGCTCTCAGTGTGAAATATTGTACATACCAGACTTTGAAAACTTGAAAGAAAGAGTGTAGACTGTCTCATTTCTAGTTTTTTATATTGATTATGTGGGGTGAGACATAATCAATACTGTCGATAGTGTCACCCGACACTGTCGGGTGAGACAGTGTTAGTTGCTCAGTTGTGTCCAACTCTTTGCCATCCCATGGACTGTAACCTGCTAGGCTCCTCTGTCCATGGAATTCTCCAGGCAAGAATACTGGAGTGGGTATCCTTCTCCAGGGGATCTTTCTGACCCAGGGATCGAACCCATTTCTCCTGCATTGCAGGCAGATTATTTACTATCTGAGCCAATACAGGATGACTGTATGTTAAAGTGCAGTTATTTTGGATACACTGGGTTAAATTAAAATATATTACTAATTAATTTTACTGTTTCTTTTTATTTCTTAAAACTGTGGCTACTAGAAAATTAAAAATGACAGATGTGACTGCTCCATACCTTCCCTCCCAGGTCCTCTCTCTGGGCTGTGAAGAGTCCCTGTTGTGGGATGGTCAAACTGCCTGTACCCTGACCTCACAGAACACCTCCTCCGTCCCCTTGATCTGGTTGAAACCTGACTTTTCTCTGAGGACAGTGCTTCCCCTTCAGCCTGTTCCTGTGTTCCTTCCAGGGGCCGTGATTGAAGCGATTCACTTCCCCAGACTTGCACCATGGAGCCAGGTAGAGAGAACCTGGCTCACTGGTGACTCTTCCTGACAATTGCTTCTCACTTGTCACGTGAAATCTCATTTGAGACTGGTCGTATCTGTCTGTTGCCCCATCTACTGACTACCTAACTCATCCCTTCATGGTCAGCAAAGATGTTACCACCTGGCCCATCATCCTGATCTCCACTCCGTGCTCTCCTGAACAACCCAGCCAGGGCCCTGTCTCCCTATAATTATTGAAGTATTACAGGGTTCTCCTTCTGTCTAGTGCTTTTCTTTCTTTTTAATTTGATTCTCATTTTATATTGGAGTATAGTTGATTTCCAGTGTTGTGTTAGTTTCAGATGTACAGCAAAGTGATTCAGTTATACACATAGCTACTCTTTCAGATCCTTTCACATAGAGGTTATTATGGAATATTGAGTAGAATCCTGTGCGCTGCAGTAGGTGCTTGTTGATTGTCTAGTTTATGTGTGATCGCCTAGTGCACTGCTTATTTTGTGTTGTCCTTACGTCCTCTCAAGCTCTTGTGGCTTTTCTTAGCGTCCGTGAGCTGGTGATTTCCAGCCCTGCCTTTCCTTGAGAGCTTTACTTGTAAATTTATTTTCAGGACATTGCTGTATTTCTCTCTGGTAGGTCAAACTGAACTTTTACCCAAAAAGCTTCCTTGTTTGGCCTTTGAAAGAAACTAAGTAGGTCTTCCCTAGTCCAGAGCGATCAAGTTATTTTTTCTTTTTATTATAAACGCCTATCAGTAAAAACTTTTGGTACCTCACAAATGTATGTATGTATAAATTATAGTATGTATACTATACTTAGAGAAATAGTATAGTGTACCATACTTACAGAAATTTTTATATGGTTGAGATAAAGATGAAACAGTTTTGAAATAATAGTCTTAACTAAATTCTTAAATTTTAGTGAAAGCAATATGACTGAACATGCATTATTATTTTTGAAAATCTTGATTTGACTCTTTGTATACTGGCAGGTCAGTGTTCTAAATTAGTCTGTTTCTAAATTAAGCACATTTCTGATACTTTGTTTAAATCACTGTCCCTGGAAGAAATATCTTACTGCCCTGCTTCCGAAGTCCTGCTGCTTATCTACCAATTTGGTAGCATTTTGTTGAAATTGTTGAATTTTCATCTTCTGTGGCATTGTTCAATTTTTTTTAGCAAACTAATGAGCAGATATTGCATTTTCTATTTTAGAGTAGGTTCTAAATTCACTGAAACTTTTAGAAGATTTTTAAACAGATTACAAAGTTTTTCTGTATTTTAAAAATTATTTTTGGTATAAAAATCATATAATAGTGGAAATACTTCTAAATATTTGTTTTCATAATGCTTTCTCCATATACTTTTAAGTCAGTTCTTTTTTCTTACAATGTCGTGTTTCCCTTGATAAAGATATGGATTGTTTTTAATTAATAAATGTTCTCATTAGCATGCTAATGATAGCTAGTGGCCAGTTAAAGGATCAACCTGTCTTTTTGTAAAAGAAAAGTGTATAATTCATCTTTTAAGTTTAACATCTCTTGAGTATTTTGCCACAAGATAACCAGCAAACCACTGTTTGGTACAAAAATTTTATGGTTGGTTTGCTATATAGATTCTACCATTTAAGGTAAAAAGATACATAAGTCAGTTTTATTGGACACCTCACCTGTTCATTTATCATCAGCATATTGCAACAGATTTCGATTACCATTTAGTGTGTTTTATGGCATTTGTTCACTTCTGTGGTGTAAATATTCCTGCCATGACTGAGTTCAGGTTAACTTGAGTCATTGGACATGGCTTTTGGAAGAGATGAGCAATTACATGCCAATTACATAGTCTTTTCACCAGACAGTTATAATAGGCATGAACAACCTCAGGATGACAGTAAATGTGGGACTTCCCTGGGGGTGCAGTGGTTAGCACTCTGCACTTCCACTGTGGGGGACGTGAGGGTTCGATCCTTTGTCAGGGAACTAGGATCCTGCATGCCTTGCAGCGCAATCAAAAAAGTTAAAAAATGATGATGGTAAATGTACTAAATAATTATAAATGTGTTAACTAGTTAAATAAGTGATGTGCTTTAGGTATTTATTGGCTGCTAATATAATGTATTTAGTTTTCAGTTGTCATTTAGTCGCTAAGTTGTGTCTGACTCTGCAACCTCATGGACTGTAGCCCGCCAGGCTCCTCTGTCCATGGGATTCTCCAGGCAAGAATACTGGAGTGGGTTGCTGTTTCCTTCTCTAGGGGACCTTCCCAACCCAGGGATAGAATCCGCATCTTCTGCATTGGCAGGCAGATTCTTTACTCCTGAGCCACCAGGGAAGCCCCTTAATTTTAAGTACGTGTAATTCTAGCTGTTTTTCATAACAAGGTCACAAAATTCCTAAAATCCCTGAAAGTTCAACAGTCGACATTCATTGGTAGATGTGAGGCAGTGCACACCTGTGGACCTTGTGGGACGTTTTAAGAACTTAGGCTTAGTCTGGGTGAGATGAGAGACCATTGAGGGGTTTGGAGTAAAAGAGGCACATGTTTTAACATGATCGCTCTGCTGTGCTGAGGATGGACTGGAGGGAGGAAGGCAGGCAGCAGGGAGGCTGATGAGGAGCCTGTGTGAACAGTGTGGGCCAGAAATGAGGGTGGCTTCGGGCAGGGGTAGCCTGTGCCCAGGCTGAGCAGTGAGGCACTGCGGGATCGGACGTCTCATCCCTCAGTGACTTACTGAGGTCTGAGAGATAACCAGACTTTCCCCTCACTTGCCCTTTGCTTCGTCAGAATGCTTTCAGCTGAACTAGTGTCCAGCTGGATTTGATAGATCTTTATGTTGCTGCAGAATCACTGTGGTACCAAGGAGACTGCATGAAGGTTTGATTCCCAAAGAGGGTGATGATGGCAGTTTGGATAGGCTGATTCTTCAGTGCGGAAGGTCTGCCTTGCAGGTGCTCAGCACCCCTGGACCCAACTCCCTAAATGCCAGTGGTGCTTCCTGGAGATTGCCACACCCAGCCTCCGCCACAACACGCTTCCTAACAGCCCTGTGCGTATTCTTGCTGAAAGCCAAAGAACTGTGGCCTCTAACACAGTATGTGCTTCTGTTTCTGCCCCGACAGTATTATGCCTACCTGTATTCCTACGTGATGCCCCAGGCCATCCGAGATATGGTGGATGAATACATCAACTGTGAGGACATCGCCATGAACTTCCTCGTCTCCCACATCACTCGGAAACCCCCCATCAAGGTACGGCCCCACCGCTTACGGGACTGGGGGTGCATGTGCACTCAGCTCACATACTTTGTGGTCATGCGGGGCGTAACTCACCGTACTTCGGAGTCCTCATCTGTAAATTAGGATGATGAGGCCACCAGCCAAATAGGATCACCTTAGGGTTTAATGAGGGTCTTCACTTCCTAAGGTGTAAATGGATAGAAATCCGTGATTGGAATTTGAATGGGGAAATGTTACATCTTTAATTTTATCTGGTCTTGAATTAAAATTTATCCTTTTTATCAGTTATAAAACAGGCTGTAATTCATAAGAGGATTGGTGGTGACTGATTTTTCACCAGAACTCATAGATATTTTCATATCACATTATGTTTATTGTGAAGTATTGTTAACTTTCATCACTTTGAAATTATGGAAGTTACTAACTTTTCCCTAGATTGTGTTACTTTTAAAAGAGTACATATATTTCTGTGTTTCAGCATTACCTGTTTACATTGTTACTGTTGTTCAGTCCTTAAGTCCTGTCTGACTCTTTGTGACCCCATGGACTGCAGCATGCTTCTCTGCTCTCCACCGTCTCCCAGAGTTTGTGCTCAGATTCATGTCCATTGAGTCAGTGATGCCATCTAACCATCTCATCTTCTGCTGTTTCCTTTGTAATTTCTTATATTTTACGTGTCTAAAAGCATTCTAAGGAGGGTCCACAGGCTTCCCCAGGTTGCCAAACCAGAATGGAAGGTGGTGTGTCCTTGGCACCCAAAATGTAAGAATTTCTGAGTTAAGGTGTGTAAAACTGTAAGAATAGTGCCCAGCACCTAAGTTCTTCATAAGGTATTTATACAAAACACAAGTACCCTCAAATTTGTAGAAATTTGAGTTCTTTCTCTGTCTTTGAGTAGGTGAATAGATTTGACCAGACTATTAACAATTTCATACTCGGTGCTTTTCATACTTTTCATAAAGACCAGTCCCATCACCATCTCTGTCATTATTGTAGATTCAGACAAGTGGAAGCTCTCCTGGTGAGGGCTACGGTAAAGAGCTTGTAACAGTTAATACTAGAGAATCTGTCAGTTCCAGTTAATAATATTTATGACTATGCTCTGTCAGTCTTTTAAGTTATAGATTCACACTTGCTGTCCTTACGTTATTATCAAAAAGTCGTATTAATTTTATAAAATAATTTTACCTTCATGGATATCATTAGGGCCATGAGTAAATAATAATTTGGTGTATATTTCATTCTTCTTATTGTACATTTTGAATGTAAGTTCTAGACTAAGTAGCCACTAGGCTGTACTAATAATGATGGTCAAATTGTATCTTTAGTTTTAAGCAAGAGTGGTAACTAGAGAGCACTGATGCCAGCAACAAAGCAAAACCGACAAATAGAGAAGTGCTTGGGGCTTTATGCGCTCACTCACACCTGTTCCAGCCTTTCGCCTGGTGTGGCTCAGGGTTATAACTTAACTCCTGGTTACCACGTAGTTTCTCAGATTCTTTAGCCTTCTGCTAAAGCCTCGTAAGAGAAGAATAATTAGCAAAATAATGCACCAAATTGTGTGTGTGTTTTTTTTTAAACTCTGAGTGATAATAGTATTTTTATATAAAATAACATGTTTTCCAGGTACAGTGGTAGATCTGATAGTAAATAAAAAAGCATACTTCTTTGTAAATTCTAAGGAAGGGAGGCAAAGGTCTTAAAAAGAAATTGATTGGTGCACTTTTCTGTTCCTTATTTATCCTTTATTGTGTAACCAGGGACTGGACTCCAGCCAGATGTTTGCTTTATAATTATAACTCCCAAGTAAATCATAGACATTATTCATGAAAATTTAAAGTATCTGAGTGATTAGGTACCTAATAATACCATCAGTCACGTTAAGCACTCACAGACATGGTGCATTTTTCATCTCATGGAAGCATGTTTGTTCTGTTATTAGGCCAGTGTTTCATTGGTTAAACATCTCTCCAGTGTAGAGAGTGAGGTGGAAATAATTTGCTTACGGTATACATGATTCTTTGGCTACCTGATGTGAAGATCTGATTCAGTGGAAAGACCCTGATGCTGACAAAGATTGAAGGAGAAAAGAGAAGGGGGCTGCAGAGGATGAGGTGGTGAGATAGCATTACTAACTCAGTGGACGTAAATCCGAGCAAACTTGGGGGATAGTGAAGGACAGGGAAGTGTGGCATTGCAGAAAGTCAGATGTGACTTAGCGACTAAACAGCAAAAGTGAAAACTTGGAAAATTAGAATGACTTTTTAAAGTCAGGCTCACTAAGTTGAGCCTGTCTTCAAATTCTGAGTCCAGTTATTTACTTCCTATTATAGAACCAGTTTGAACTCAGTATTTTCATTAATTTACCTAATTTTATCAGTATATATACTATTTTATATTATAAAGTAGTAAATTTTTTTTTTTGCTTTAAATACTTCAAATTTTCATCGTCCCTTCCCTTGTTATAATTAGGAAGGCATGACTGTTTTAGGTGATAGTTGTATTTTTTCAGTAATGTTAATATCTTGACAATACTGACTAAATAAACTACACAGTTAATTTCATATTGTTGCTTTGAATAATGTACTATTATTTTTTTGAAGAGGAGAGATTTAGAGTGTAAATAGACTTCATTCAGAATAAAGGATGAAAAACTCATAAAGCATTGAGAAGACAGGTGGAGATGGCTTATGGGATAAGGAAGAAGAGAGAGGATACATAAGTAAACGTCTTAATATTAATGCTGAGTAAGTTCTCAACATCTATTAAGGATTTTCCTTACCATTACTAAGCAGAACTTTCCTTAGACTAAATTACTTGAAATATTCCTGTGTAAAATATAATCCATGATGTTGCTTTAGTAAGTGTTCAAACTTCACTTTATATAATTTACTTTATTCTTAATTATGTTTTATTATGTTATACACACACACACACACACACAGAGTTGTTGTTCAGTTGCTCAGTCATGTCCAGCTCTTTGTGACCACATGAACTCCAGCACACTTGGCTTCTCTGTCCACTACTGTCTTCTTGAGTTTCCTCAAACTCGGGTCCGTGGAGTCAGGGACGCCACTCAGCCGTCTCATCCTCTGGTGCCCCTTCCCCTCTTGCCCTCAGTTTTTTCGCAGCTCTCTCTCTGTGCATATTACGGAGCCACTGGACCACCAGGGAAGTTCCTGTATATAGATATATATTTTTTTTTATTAAATTAAATTAATTAAATTAAATTAATTAATTAAATATACTGGGGTTGCAATCACAACTTTTTTTAGTAGTGGGTTACATGATTAAAAACATTTATTTGGAAACCACTGCTTCAGTGGAAATACCTTTATAGAAGGAGCATATATAAAGAGAAAATGCCTTATAAAAGCAGTATAAATACCTCTTTTTGTGACAGAGTGGAGTCATTTGCAGGTTAAGAGACTTTTCCCCTCGAGGTTGAGTGCTGGCGTCTGAGATGAGGTACAAGGGGAGCAAAGTAGGATACTGGACATAGATGTGGCTTGATTGCAGCCAGCCTTCTCCAAGCCCTTGACAGCCATCTCCTACTTCAGTCAGAGCTGGTGGGGAGAGTAGTAAGTGCCGCACTGTTGGCTGTAAACTGGAGGACGTCTAGAGACCTGCTGGTGGGAGGGAGGGTGGGGGAAGGGGGTGGGAGTCCTGTGAAGGGACCTCTGAGGGTCATGACTCCTTCCGAGTTTTATTTCTGGTGGAGTGTCCCTTGGAGTCCTGGCCTGCGGTTGTGATCACTCCTCACTTTCAACTCTAGCAGCTGGACTTCTGATGGCTAATCCTGGCTGTGGGTGGTGGTTATTCTTCAGCTGTTATTAACAGGATGGGCCATCCAATTTTAATTTTTTTCTCAGTTTATAATAGTAATAATAATTTTAAAGTTATTCAGGAAAAAACATATATTCAGAAAGAAAGTAGAACATGCAGATTTAAAAACTTAAATAGAACTACTGGAAATGAAAATTATAGTTATTAAAATGACAGTCTCTGTGAATGGGATAACATGATAAGACAGCTGAAGAGAAAGTTAATGACCTAGTAGATTATGTGTGAATAATGTGAATACATTACCTGAGAAGGTATTATGGAGATACAAAGAGATGGAAAATAAGAAAGATGAAGAGATGCGAAGGCTGTAAAATCTAACACAGTGCCAGAAAGGGAACAGTGGAGAGATGGGAGGGGCAGTCTTGATAATACAAGATGAGAATTTCCAGAATTTATTGACTGCATGGGGCCTTCCCTGGTGGCTCCTGCAGTGCGTTAGACTGGGGTTCGATACCTGGGCCAGCGAGATCCCCTGGAGAAGGAAATGGCAACCCATTCCAGTATTCTTTCCTGGAAAGTCCCATGGGCAGAGGAGCCTGGTGGGCTACAGTCCATGGGGTTGCAAAGAGTCGGATACAACTAAGCAAAACGCGTAACATTGCATGAATACTACGGCAAATATTACACTTAATTGTGAAAGTTTAGAAGGTCCCTGTTGAAGTCAGTAGTAAGATAAGGTTACCCACTAAATAAATGGAGATAGAGACCACATTCACATTCATATGGTCAGGATAGCAGTTCTCCCCAAGTCTAAAATGTTGGTGTAACTTTAATTGAAATCCTATTAGGTGGCAATAAAATTAACCATCACACCATAAAAAAAAAAAAATCCTAGTAGGATACTTCATTTGGTTTAGTTTGACTTGGAGCAAAACTTGACAAACAGATCCTCAGATTTGTATTGAAAGGCAAAGAGCCAGGATGGCTACGGCACTAGTGAAGAAGAGGGGAACTTGCCCTGTCAGAAAGCGTGGCTTGGTATTAAAGTACAGACTTAGGACAGGTCCCTGTGATCTTGGTGCAGAGACCGACAGTCAGTGGTACGGGCAGAATGCAGACACAGGCCCATGTCTACCGGGAAACTTGACATGTGATAAAGGTGGCATCTGTAAACGAGTGTGGGAATAACTGGTTTTCTGTATGGAACAGAAGTGCATGTCATACCATACACAAAGTAAATCCAGATGGGCTAATAAACCTAATGTTAATAGCAAGCATTAAAACTTCTAACAAAAAATACAGAAGTGTTTTTGTGATATAGACAAAGAGAAACAAAAAGTACAGAATCTGGAGGAGAAGATTGATTGGTTTGAATATATTAAAGTTCAAAACTTTGTTCAAAAAACTATATCCAGACTGTGACATTTACAGTGCTGGTACATGACAAAGAATTGATACCCAGATAAAGGATTTCCAAAGGAGAAGACCACTCAGTTGATTCAATAAGTATGTAAGAAAGTAGTTCAGTGAAGTGGAAACCTAGATGATTAATGAACATGTGGAAGGATGCTAATCTTCTGTAATAATCAGGGAAATGGAAGTTAAAACAATGTGATATAGTTTATACCCATCAAGTGGGCAGAAATGAAAGTGTGATGGTACCAGATGGTAGTAAGGATGTGTAGAAATTGCAGATGTTGATCAGGGCTGGTGGATGTATACATTGGGACATTTATTTTGAAGAAAGTTTGGTTTTGTCAAGTATAATTGAAGGTCATGTTCCCCATGACATTGCAGTAGAGGAAAGGAGGGTGGCATATGGATTAACTCTTTGTAATATTCTGTTTCTTTTGCCAAAAAAAAGAAAAATATATATGTAGTCTAAACCAAATAGGACAAAGTGTCAATATTTGACAAACCTGGTGGGTTTGCTTGTTTTGTTATGTTCTTCCCCCCTTTAAGCATAACATTTCATTCATATGTTTTAAACCAATAGTAGTGTATGTTTCATACATATATAGCCATATTTGATTCTTTTTGGAAATATTTATTTATTTGGCTGTGTCAGATCTTAGTTGTGGCATGTGAGATCTAGTTCCCTGACCAGGGATGGAACCTGAGAGTGCAGTGGGAGAGCAGAGTCTTAGCCACTGGACCCCCAGGGAAGTCCCTTGATTCTTTAAACAAATACCTGTGCAATAAAAATGATAACTAAAAATAAGAAAGTTTAACATTCTCACTACCAACTCCTTGTATGTGTACCTCGGTAATCCTGGCCTGCTGCTTCCCGCCATTGATAACTGCCACCCTGAGTTTGGTTTTAAAAATCCCCTTCCCCTCCTCCCTTAAAAAGAAAAGCGTTTTTACCAACATGTATTTATCTCTAGGACTTTCCTTGTGGCTCAGCTGGTAAAGAATTCACCTGCAATGTGGGAGACCTGGGTTCGATCCCTGAGTTGGGAAGATTCCCTGGAGAAGAGAAAGACTACCCACTCCAGGATTCTGGCCTGGAGAACTCCATAGACTGTATAGTCCATGGGGTGGCAAAGAGCTGGACATGACTGAGCGACTTGACTCACTCACTCATCTCTAAGTGATTGCTGTCTTTAAACTTTATGTAAATGAAGTCAGACTGTTAGTGTCCCTCTGCGATTAGGTTTTTAAAAAGTCAGTCTGTGAGCTCAGTCAGTGTTGATGCTTATGACTGTAGTTTATTTTTATTGCCCCAGAGTCTTAAAGGGGCTCTCCCCCATACCCTTCTAAAAGTTTTAGGTTTTGCCTTGTTGTATTTAAATCATCAATCCTTGTGGAAGTGATTTTTGTGTGTGATGTGAGATAGGGCCCCAGCTTCATGTTTGTCTCCTAAGCAGTGTTCATTGCACACTTAGTTCGTCCACACCCAGTGACGTGCAGTGCCGCTCTGTCGTTCAGCGGACGTCTGTGTGCAAGTGTTCTTCATTCTGGTCTGTTGGTCCAGTTTGTTCACGTGCCAAATTCACACTAATGGTCATATCTTTAGAGTTATTTTTTGTATCTCCTAAGACAGGTCCCCTCTAATGTAATCTTGTATTTCAGGAGTGTCTTGCCTTGCACATGCCCTCCTGCAGGGCAGAGTGTGCGCTGGGTCCCAGGAGGCAGGTGGCTCAGCTCAGAGCAGGAAGGAGAGCTCAGCTGTGGGAATGATAGCTTTTTTCTGTCCCGGGATCAGTTTTCAACTTTAAATAAATGGAATCATACAGTTATCTCTTTCCATGTCTCTCAGTCTTTTTTTAAAAATAATGTTATTGTCTGTTTATGGCTGTGCTGGGTCTTCGCTGTTGCTCAGGCTTTTCTCTAGTTGTGGAGAGCGGGGGCTATTTATTCTCCAGCTGCGCTGCCGGGGCTCCTCACTGTGGTGGCTTCGCCTCCTGTGGAACATGGGCCCTAGGTGTGCGGGCTTCAGCAGTTGTGGCTCCCCGCCTCTAGAGCGCAGGCCCAGTACGTGTGGTGCATAGGCTTAGTTGCTCTGAGGCCTGTGGGATCTGCCCGGATCAGGGACAGAACCCATGTCTCCTGCATTGGCAGACGGATTCTTTACCACTGAGCCACCACGGAAGCCCTCCATGTCTCTTCATCTTGCTTTCATATTTCTTTAAAGCTTTTTCCCAGTATTTTCCATTCTGGGAATAATTTTAGTATACTTTTTATCACTATTTTTCTCTTCACCTATCTGTTATCTGATTTAATTCAATATACTTTTTTTCTTCCTAGTTTTATTGAGATGTAATTGACATGCAACTTAATGATTTGCCTTACAAACCATCATGAGATGATGATCACAATAAATTTATATATTTCCATTTCTGTTGTTCTATTTGGTTCTTTTTCCTTTTCTTTTTTTGATTGTGCCATGCAGCATGTGGGATCTTAGTTCCCTCACCAGGGATTGAACTTGGACTGCTTGCATTGGAAGCGTGGTGTTAACCACTGTATCACCAGGGGAGTCCTTCTTTGGTTCTTTTTCATATCCACATGAACTTTTTTGATAGTCCCTGTTTCTTCCATCAAACTTTGAATAACCTTTCAAAATCTTATTGCACATATGAGACACGTTTACTGTTACTGTCTCTGTCTGAGCATCCTGCTGTTTTGCAGTGTTTGGTTTCTGCATATTCTCATTCATGTGACTCATCCCTGCTGTGTGATTTTCGACTGTGAGGTCATATTCCTTGGGGTGCTACTTACGGCACTTCTTTGAGGCCTGGATCTGAGAGGACTTGTACTTGTTTCTTGTGTGTGCCTGGGCTCACCACCTGCTTAAGACCTGTTCACGCTAAATTAGCATATTGGGACACACGGGTGACATAAATTCTAGCCTCAGCTGTGTGAGGCCGACTTAAGGTTATAGTTTCTCAGAGGGGATGTTTCCTCCTCCTCTTGGAGCTCAGACTAAGAAGGAAGCAGTGCTTCACCACCTTGCTCTGTGGGGCTGCCTCCCACTCACGTGGCCTTACGCTGGGTCCCAGGCTTTAGAAAGTCTCTGATCTGATTTGATGACAGTGGCTGTCCCAGCCTTGGAAAGACTGGAGCTCCTAGCTGTCTCTGGATTTTCAAGCCTTCTCACTCCTTTGACTTCTGAGGATTTCATTTCTTTGAATACAAGCTCAGCCAGTATATTTAAAGAAGACGGTTTCTATATTTCATCCTGCCTTTTCAGGCATTCTCTGCCGAGGGGTCTTATGTTATCTGCTTTGCTGTGTTGTTGACAGTGAAGCTGTTGTATTCCTCTGCATACTTTTCTAATTGCTTGAAGTTTCATCATCATAATAACCAGTAAACTATAGTATGATCACTTTCCCTTGTCTTTAAATATGACGTTCTTAAAACTTCTTTGTAATGGATGTGTAGTATTTTATAATTATTTAACTAGTCCCCCTTTGATGGGTAATTTTCCAGTATTTTGCTGTTAAAAACATGAATGAAATGAACAACTTTGTACCTACAACATCTGGCTGTGCAACCAGGAGAAATACTAGAAGTAGAGTCACTGAGATAAGTAACACTGAAGACTTCAAGGCTTTCGATATCTGTTAAGTGTGGACCATTTGGAAAGCACATCCTTACCAATAGTGTAGGTGTTGAATATGTCCCTGGCAGGAAGAGGACTCTGAGTGAGCATGGGCCTCGGGCTCTGTTTCGTCGCCGTGGAAACGGAGGCCTCATAGGCTGAGCTGCGGGGCCTCTGTCAATACTGGCGCCGAGGTTCTCACCCTCTGCTCTTTCTTCCCGCTCCCAGGTGACCTCACGGTGGACTTTCCGATGTCCGGGATGCCCTCAGGCTCTGTCACACGACGATTCCCACTTCCATGAGCGGCACAAGTGTATCAACTTCTTCGTCAAGGTGTACGGCTACATGCCCCTGCTGTACACGCAGTTCCGCGTGGACTCTGTGCTCTTCAAGACCCGCCTGCCCCACGACAAGACCAAGTGCTTCAAGTTCATCTAGGGGCATTGCGCGGCGGAGCGAGGAGGAGCGGAGCGACGGAGGGGCTCCGGGGGGCCCTGGACACTGAAGGGCCTCGGACGCCCCCGGCTGGTCGGGCCAGGCCCTCTGCTGGGAGGGGCGGGCCGCCTTGCTCTTGAAGTCGGCGGCACTGGGCCCGGAAGCCTGGTCCCAGGCCACCAGGGTTCCCTAAACAGGGCATTGACGATAGCTTACACTGAGGACCACGGGGCTGTGGGGAGTCACTCACAGCTCACGAGCCCGGCACAGCCGGCTCGTGGTTTTTTAATTCACTAACAACTGTTATTATTTAAAAACTTTCAGATTTGCCATTCAAGGTTTATTTATATATGTGTGTGTATATATACACATACGTGTGTGTGTATATATATGTGGGTGTATACAGATACATGCACACACACTCACAGACATATACATATGTATGTATTCGAGGGGGAGCTTGGTGTTTCTGCCCATCTCACAAAGTGAGGGTCCTGCCGTGGTGGTCTGTATTTTGGTAGAGAAGGATCCTGGCCTTCCTGTATCTGGCTCATCCTTAAAGATGGTCTCTGTCCTCCCCAGGGGCCCCTGTGTGCAGAAATAAGAAAGGGCCGGCGTGGCCCTGGGGGTCTTGCCTGAGTTAAGACCTGTGGGTTGGTTCCTTCCCCGCTTTCTGTTGCCAACAGTGCTCTGTGGCTCGAGTTGTCCTGTCACTCGAGTTCTTGGTGGGATGGGGGCCTGTGTATTTGGCGGCAGCTGAGCTTCCTGCATGGGACAGGTGGGTCGGGGACTTCCTGCTGGGTGTGCTGTCTGCGTACTTGACCTGGCTCCCCCTCTCCCCGCTGTTTGAGAGTGAAGACAGGAAGGACCGAGACCAGCAGACAGACCCCCAGATTGTTCACTTTGTTCGACCCTCCTTTTAAAGACCTGTTGTCTTTGCCTGCAGACTTTCCTGAAGGTTCTCTCTCGTATAGAGCAGATGCCTGGCGGCTACACTTCAGGGGGGCCTGAGTGGTTGGTTGCAGGTCGGCTGACTCTGGCGCAGAGCAAGTGAGCAAGCACCCTTTGATTCCCACCCGGCTGGCCGGGAGCCACAGCAAGGCACCTGCCTTGGGATGATACCTGGGTGAAATTCACCTTACCCACCCCCTCTGGACCCGCATCCTGTAGTTCCTAGATCCCTCAGCCCGGGTGGGTGCCAGGCCCCCCCCGCCAGGGTTGGTTTGGTGTATGTCAAATGATGGCAGCATAGGATTTGTTGGATTAAGCTCAAATCCAGCCTGAAATTGAACAGGTGTTCACATCCCATATTACCACTTCCCCCTGTGGGTTTCAGTCTCTCTTCCTGGGCTGAAATAGAAGGAAGCTAATTTTTTTTTTTCTGGTGGTGGCAGCAGTAGGGGAACTGAAGAGAGTGCTCTCACTGGCGTTTGGCTGGGATGTAGCCCGTGACCTCTGCCGTGCTTTCTGGACCCCCCTTTCCTCCAGTGAGGCTGAGTCTGGGAGGCCCCCTCAGTGACTGAACACAAGCCCGGGCCTGTCCTGGGCGCGCACATGCCTTAAGCCAGCTCCGTCTTCCCGGACCTCGACCCCCCCTCCCCTGTGTCCAGGGGGCACATCCCTCTGACCTGCCTGCCCCCCAGGGGGTCCTCTTCAGGTGTCACCTGAAGCCGGCTCTGTCCTGGAGGGAGCGCCCCCGGAGGGTGCTTGACCTGAGGGGCCCGCCCCGTCGGCGGACAGGACCGGGCTGTGTCTCCCTGACGTCCCTGCTAGCATCTCCCTGCGTCTGGCCTGCTGAGGCCGCCGCCTCGGAGATGAGCGCTGCTGCGCGGCAGCCCAGCGCAGGGGCCCAGACCCCGCCTCCTGACTTTCTAATTCCCCCTCCTTTACTCTGGACGTGATTCTTTTTAGCAGTAGCCTTCTTCCCTTTGGGAAGCCAAAGAGTGTGGTGTTTTGAGCTATAAGTGTGGCTGCTATTTTTATCTTGTCTCTCTCAATGTGAGGAACTCCTGGACTGCCTCTGAGCACGGGGTCCCTGGTGAGAAGGTAGCTGTGTCAGGACCCCCCGAGGTGGAGCCAGGCAGGGGGCCCTGAGTGTCAGGGACAGATCAGAGCAGCTGGTGCTCTGAGCTGGTGGGTGACGTCACGGGGCACTCGGGTGGGGGGCGATGATGTCAGAGCGGGGGGCGCTGTTGGACCTGAACGTGACGCCGACTGAAGGACCCGGCCTGCAGGCTCTGGCGGACACGAGCCACGTCTGTAAAGGACGCTCCTCACGCGAGAGGCGGCGGGTGCAGGGCTCTCGGGGGCCTGGTCGGTCTCCCGGAGAGCAGCCGTCACATTTTGCGAGGCGGGCCAGGGGGACGCCCAGATCAGGCTTCCAGTGCCTCTGATGCCTGTTGCTCAGCGTGGGGAGTCCAGAGTTGTCTGCGCCACCTGGCTGATAGCTGGAGCCTGCCACAGCCCTGCAGACACGAGCCTCGTCAGCTGTCCCGTGACCACCCGCTGCCGTCTGCGCCCCCAGAGCCCAGCGCATCCGTGCTCCCCGGTGGGAGACACCCACCTGAGGGGAGCCCCCAGGCGCTCACCAGGCCTGCGCCGTGGCCCTCCGCCCGTGTGACCGCCCTTCACGCCAGGGCCCGGGCGCCGCGCCCCGAGGAGGGGTCCCTCCGGAGCGGCCTGCCTGTGTGAAGGCGGGCGCTCCTCTGCAGTGCTCGTGTTCTGAAGGGGCAAGCTCTAATGATTCTCATGCCATGTCCATCCACCCCACCCCTTTTCCAGTCATGAGCACAATGGTCTTACATTGGGTTTTTGTAAAAAAAATAAAAATTAAAAAATGGCGACTACAAGCAGCTTGGAGGTCTTTGTGATTTTTCTCTGCAGGACGGAAGAGTGCCTAAGGGAAGGTGCCTGCTGGTTCCAGGAGCCCCCCCACCGCACCCACAGTGCACGGCCGGGCCCTTCCTGCACGGCTGTGCTTGCCCCGGGCCCGGCGTGGCCTGCGGGCCTGAGCTGGGTGATGCTGTCAGTGGGCACGGGCAGCCTTGCCCATCTCAGTGTCCATTTCCAGGCTCGGTCACTAGATCAGATCGAGAGGAACTGTCACGGAACTGGTTTGCGTATGGACATGGGGTGTCATGGGGCACGTGTTTCCCACCTTTCTCGTGGTGACTTGTCAATGTGTGTGGTGTGGTGTTAGGGAGCTCCCTGTGTGTTCCCCAGCCCAGAGCAGGGCTGGTTTATAATGGCCCCGTCAGACTTAGGGGTCACGAAAAGCACCTGCATCTAGCTGGGGCTGAACTCTTGCTGCTGTGGTCCCAGGCTTCTGCTCAGCCATGGGATCGGAGCCATCCTCAGGGAGGGGACACTGAGTCACAGACTTGGAGACGGATGGAGACAGGAAAGAGGATGGGGAGCCAGGGAGAAGCTGAGCTGGGGTGCTCCTCTCCTGGTTTTGGCAGTTGTGAGTTTGGACATGAACTTGGGCAAATTTCGGCAGATGGTGAGGGGCAGAGAAGCCTGGTGCGCTGTAGTCCATGGGGTCGCGAAGAGCCGGACATGACTGGAAGACGGAACAGCAACGATCCTAAGAATGCCTGGGACCAGAAGTCCAGCATTACTCTGAAAGTAAGGTTGACGACTGATGAGGTAGGTTTGTGGCAGGTGACGGGGGAGGATGATGTCATATCGGGTGGGGATGCCTGCTCAGGTGCTGCCAGGGTCCTGTTCTTCCAGCCATCCATCTCCTTGTTATAACTTGTCCCAGAACCAGAGGAACTTGAGGAAGTTGCACAAGGCTGTGGAAATAGGGGGCTTACTAGGTTGCAGAGGTGACGCGTCTAACTTGGGTTCTGTTCCCAAGTTACTTAGTTCTGGCTTGGACCTGACAAGGTAAACCAAAGTGGTCAGTGTTAGTGGTTGATATATTGAAATAGAAGATTCCACAATATTTGCAAAACTGTGGTTAAGAAAATGTGTGTAAGGATACTGGGTTTAAATCCTGGGTCACCCATTAAACTGTGGTGGGAAACACGTTATATTTTAAACTCCATCTATAAAATGGTAAGACTTATGCCTACATCTTGAAGACATGTTGACCTGTGGTGAACATGTAGGTTGCTTCCCTGTTCTAGCTATTGTATATGGTGCTGCAGGACACTTTGGGGTCCATGTGTCTTTTTCAGTTCTGGTCTCCTCAGGGTATATGCCCAGTAGTGGGATTGCTGGGCCGTGTGGTGGTTTTATTCCTGGTCCTTAAAGGAATCTCCATGCTGTTCTCCATAGTGGCTGTATCAGTTTACATTCCCACCAACAGTGCAAGAGGGTTCCCTTTTCTCCACACCCTCTCCAGCATTGATTGATTACAGGCTTTTTGATGATGGCCATTCTGATGTGATGATCCCTTATTGCAGTTTTGATTTGCATTTCCCCTTGTTTTGATGCCAGCTCATTCAGGTCTCAGCTGAAGCACCCTCTTCAAGAAACCCACCCTGCTCACAAGTTGCTGCTTCCCTCCCCTCCCCGCCTGTCTCCTGTTCCAGGGGCTGCCCCTGCGTTTCCCACACCAGATTGTAAGCCTCTGGAGAATAGAGCCCTGAAGTCCATTGTCACATGTGTGTTTTGTAAATATTCCCCCCCAGTTTGGAGGTTGCCTATCCATTTTCTTTATGGTATCTTCTGATGAGCAGAAGCTTTTAATTTTGCCGAGATCAATTTAGAACTTTTTTTCTTTTTTGTTGCTTTCTGTGACTCGAGAGCCTTGTGCCTAGCCCAAGTCATGAAGGTATTCTTTCAATTTTTCCACTAAAAGCTGTACAGTCCAAGCTCCATCTCAAGTTAATACTTGTGTATGGTGGGTGGTGGTGGTCAAGGTTTTTTTTTTTTTTTTTTTTGGTAAGTGACTGTCTAGCTGTTCCAACACCATTTGTTAAAAAAGAATTTCCTTTCTCCATTGAATTGATTGGGGCCTTTCTTGACAACATAACGACTGTCTGAGCTCTCTCTTCTGTTACTGATTTGTTGCTAATACCAGACTGGATAAATGTAGTTTTTTTGTTTGTCTTCAAACAAAAGTAGTATAAATTCTCCAACTTGCTTATCTTTCTTAGAATTGCTTTCAGTGTTTATAGTTACACTGTATTTCAATATATAAATTTTAGAATTAGTTTGTCAATTTTTTTCTAACCTGGAATTAAAATTTTTAAAAAATTCTTACATATAGAACTTAAAATGCTTTTAGCCACTTTTTAAAATTGAAGTATAGTTGATTTACCATGTTAATTTCTGCTGTACTGCAAAAGGGCTCAATTATACATATATATATTTTTAAAATACTTTTTGATTATGGTTTATCATAGGATACTAAATGTAGTTCCTGTGCTATACAGTAGGATCTTGTTAATTCCGTATATAATAGCTTACATCTGCTGACCTCCCACGCTATCCCTCCCCTACACCTCTCCTCTTGACAGCCGTTTCTACTCTGTTTCATAGATAGGTTCTTGTGTCATGTTTTAGATTCCACATGTAAGTGGCACACGGCACTTATCTCTCTGACTTCATGTAGCATGGTGATCTAGTTGCATCCATGTTGCCACTGGCATTTTTCCGGCTCAGTGGCGCCCCCTGAATACGTGCACCCCGTCTCCTCCATCTGTCCATCGGTCGTTGGGCGTTTAGGCTGTCTCCATGTCTTGGCTGCTGGGAACCTACAGCTGCATGTATCTTTTGGATTCGAGTTTTGTCTGGGTATTTGCCCAGGCGTGGGATTGATGGTGATGAGAATTCTTTGCCTATCATCTCTTCAAGGAGTTTTGTGGTGTCATATATCTTATGTTCAAGTCTTCAGACCACCATCCTGAATTTATTTTTGTGTATGGTAAGAGGATGTGTCCTAACTTCAATTCACATGTGACATTTTAGCCACTTTTAAGTATACAATATAATGGCAGTAAGAATATTCAGTGTATAACGATCACCACCAGCTATTTCTAGCACTTTGTCTTCTCAGATAGAAAGGCTGTGCCCATTAAGCAATAGCTCTCCATTTCCCCTTCCTTTCAGCCCTTGACAAAATCTCTGTTATGTTTCTATGAATTTGTCTATTCTGGACAGGCATATAAATGGAATCAGAGTATTACGTTTTTTTTGGTTTGGCTTTTTTAAAATAGCATGTTTTCAAGGTTCATCCATGTTATAGCATGTATCAGAATTTCTTTTTTATGGTTGGACAATAGTTCCTTGTTTGTGTACAGATAATTACGGCATGAAATATTATTTATCCATTCACCTGTTGATGGATACTTGGGTTACTTCCACGTTTTGGCCATTGTAAATACTGTTATGAACATGGATGTACAAATATGTGTTTGAGTCCCTGCTTTCTTTTGTGTAGATACCAATGAGTGGAATTGTTGGATCATACGGTAACTCAATATTTAACTTTCTGAGGAACGGCCAAACTGTTTTCCCATAGCTACTGTACCATTTAATACTCCCACCAGCAACACACAAGGGTTCAGTATCTTCACATCCTTGCCATTACTTGTTTTATAATTAATAATTTTAAAATCAAAGCCATCCTAGTAGATGTGGAGTGGTACCTCACCGAGGGTCTGGTTTATATTTTCCTAGTGACTAACCATGTTCAGTACCTTTTCATGTGCTTATTGACCATTTGTATATATTATTCAGAGAAATGTTTATTCAAGTCCTTTGCCCATTGAAAAAATATCTGTTGGGGATTTCCCTGGTTAAGACTTTGCTTCCATGGCAGGGGATTCAATCCCTGGTTGGGGAGCTAAGATCCGACATGCCATGGCCAAAATAACCAAAACATAAAAAAAACAAGAGGCAATACCGTAACAAACTAATACAGATTTTAAAAATGGTCCACATAAAATTTTTAAAAGCTTTTTAAAACTGTGTTGTTTATTGTTGCTGTTATATACTGGGATTTTGATGGGATTATACTGAATCTGTAGATCGGTGGGTAGAATTGAAATATAATAATACTGAGTCTCTAATCCATAAACATGCTGTTCTCTCTTCATGTATTCAGATCTTCCCTAATGTCTATCATCAAAAATTTTAAGGCTTTTTATGTAGAGATCTTACACATCTTTTCAAAAGCTTATTCCTAAATATCTCTTTTCACACTATTATGAGTGGAGCTGCTGATTTTTTTAAGTTTTTTTCCTAATTACTTACTATATTACTAATTCTAGTAGTTAGGATTTTTTAAAATTATTTGGAGGACAGTTACAATATTGTGATGGTTTTGGTGATAAGTCAGCATGAATTGGCCACAGGTATACTGTGTTTCCCCCGTCCTGAACGCCCCTCCCGCCTCATCCTATCCCTCTGGGCTGTCTCAGAGCACTGGCTTTGGTGGCCTGCTTCACGCACTGAAGAGTTTCTGTGTAGTCTTTTGCTCATGGTCCTGGAAATCTGCCCCTGTATTCTTGGGAGAAGTTTGGGAGGAACCCGTACTTGGTCTGTTCTGGTGAGCTCTGTCCTCAGGGACAAGGTGTTGCA